AGCGCGGAGCGCGGCGGCAGGAGGAGGATTCGGAGGGTGGGGGCGCAGGCCCGGGAGGGGGCACCGGGAGGAGGTGAGTGTCTCTCGTCGCCTCCTCCTCTCCCCCATTTTCGCCCCCGCCTCCTTGTGGCGATGAGAAGGAGGAGGACAGCGCCGAGGAGGAAGAGGCTGATGGCGGCGGAGCTTCGAAAGACCTCGGCTGGGCAGGGGCCGGCCGTGGCGGGCCGGGGACGGCGCCTCTAGAGCCGCGAGTTCTCGGGAATTCGCCGCAGCGGACGCGCTCGGTGGATTCGTGCTCCTGGGTCCAGGCCCGGCCCCTCGCACTTGCCCCTACCTTTCCTATCGAGTCCGCATCCCTCTCCAGCCACAGCGGCCCGGCCAAGAGAAAAAGGAACTTCCCCCACCCCCTCGGGGGCCGGCGGAGCCCCCAAGCCCACCTCCGGGAGCGGGGCGGGGACCCCGGGCCGAAGAAGAAATTTTCTGCGGATTCTCATTTTCTTCGCCTGTATCTCCGAAAGAATTAAAAATGGCCGAGAATGTGGTGGAACCGGGGCCGCCTTCAGCCAAGCGGCCTAAACTCTCATCTCCGGCCCTCTCGGCGTCGGCCAGCGATGGCACAGGTTAGTCTCGGGAGCCCCTCGGCCTTCCACGTTCCTCTTAATCTTTTCTGCTCGGTGCACCTTTATTCTTCCATATTTTTTTCTTTTCTCTTCCTAGCTCCCTGCCCCTTAATTAATTTTAAAGGTGTTTGAATGAGCTGGTCGAAGACGTCCAATAGCCCAACCATTTTCTTTGCCTCCTGATAACATTTGTTGCAACACTGTCACATCGATGTGTGTTCTGGAATTATAGCTTGTAAGTGGGTGCTGTATAGAAATGGCCTTTATTATTGTTCCCATGCAGTTTAGTTTTGGAAATGTCAATGCATTTTTCTGTAAGGGCTTTTATGCAATTTTAGTTTCAATTTTTTGTTGCTTTGGTAAATGGGGAATTGCGAATCCTTTCTCTTAATTGCACTTATTTTGTTTCCTCTACTTTTCACTCTTCCTTTTCAAGGTTTACTCTCCCTTGCACAAGATTTTCTGTTGATGAATAGAGTGTAAAAAATCTTGGTTTTATTTGTATGTGTGAGATCCAGGGTTTCAGGTTTCACGTGAAGTTTAACCACATTATTTTAACTTACCTACCATTCTTAGCTTTTTTTTTTTTTTTTTCCTTATTTGCTTTAAGAATCAATACGGAGCGCAGTTCATTTTACATCTCCTAGTTTGGTGTAAGACCAAAATGTCTGAAACTCTGAGTTTTCAGGTTGGAAGAGCAGAGGCATTTTCTTTGCAGTTTGTAGTCACTTTCTCATCTGGGGGGAAAGAAAAAAGATAAACGATTTTGTGGAGTTATGTACCTGGAAATCAAGGTGAGAAGTTGAAAGAGTCCTAATCATGGACTGCAAACAAACCAATTGTACAGAAGTTTAAAATGTACATTATGTTTTGTGTTTGTGTGTGTTTTTGTCTTTTTACACTTTAAACGTATTAGGAGATCAAGATTTCAGTTTAAAAGCTCTACGAATTCTTTTACTTCACTCACTTGTGGACTAGCCCCTTTGTCAGGAGAAATTCAGGGGGACTTCTCCATCCTTTTCTTTCCCTTCGTACAGTTAGTTAGTTTGTGTTACCCTGATGGCCATCGACCTTCTCTTCTGCTGTCTTAGTTGTTTGAGATTCCAGGATAATGAAGAGGAAGAATGGCTGGCCATCTGACAGTCCACAAGATGTTTCCCCTTCCTAAGGAGCATCTCTTTAACTCCCTGAGAGCAAGCTCAACGTCATCCCTCCATCTGCCAGTGAGAGTGAATTAATGGAGTTAAATGTACTATTTGAGTTTGTAGAGAACTTCTACAGCATGTTTCTAAGTAGGCCTCATTTCAGAGGGTGAAGATGGGAGGATATAGTAAATGCTTTGAATTCTTTGCTCTTATAAAAAAGATGTATCATGAGTTTCGATTAACCTGCAAAAATTAAGTAGGAATCTTGCAGTTACTCTACCAAAGAGTTGTAACATTGGCTGTGCCTGAATTTTGAACTGTTCCTATTCCTTGAAGTTTCTGTAGTCTTCAGGGATTTATTTTAGCTTTTTCTTCAAAATTCATACACATGCACACACATTATTGTATTCCTTTGCATTACTAAAGTGTCATTCAAAAGGATTTTTTAGATCATCTTTAGAAGCATATTCCCCTGTAGATTTTTGAGCTTTTTTAAAGTTTTTGTATATTGTGGTAATGGATTTACATTTGAGTTAGCCAGTGACTTGGAATATTGTAGGGAAAACTTTTTTTTATATACTTTATCTAGATGAGTCCTGATTTGAGCACCTTAATCTTGTAGCTCTGTTGTTCAAACACTTCTGTTCAGGTGCACTACTGCATTTTCTGTATCTGATCTGTGTACTTGACTAACTTATGTAACTTTGGCTAACTTATTTTACCAGTGTCTCATCTGTTTAATACATGAAAACTGTTTTGCTGCTTGAGATATCTTTGAATAACTATGAATCCTAAATGTATCAAGTGGGTTTTTATAATTAAAAAACCCTCAACATTGAGATTAATTCATTAATTTATAGAACTAGAGTTTATCTTGGTTATTTTTGTCTAAATTTTGTTGTGAGGGTTGATTCCCCCCCCCCGCCCCGCCCCAATATCTCATCAAGATTCTACTCTAGGAATTTTTTGGTATACAGTTTTTAATTGTAACGAGTTTGCACTTTGTGGGGGGAGAAGTGAGTATAAAGAAAATACTGTCCCTCTGAACTTACTTCCATTTAGGCACCATTACACTTTAATATTAAGTTTACAGGCAACTTTTAATGGAGGCACTTAACTTCTACAGCTTGACTGTAGAGTTGTCACTTGGATATTTTGCAAATGTACAAGTTATTCCTTTGTATTTGCTTATGATTTTTATCTAGAACTGCTCAAAATGAGCCAAACATTGTAGACCCCCGAAACTTTTAAGTGATTTAGACTTGCAGACTTTGTAGTGTAAGTATGTGTACCAAGAGTGTTTGAGTGTGTCAGCTTTGTATGAAAGAAAACTGTAATCCAGTGGGTTGACATGCTAAAGCATTACAAAACAAATGAGTATTTAAATCCCAACTTCTGAAATTTTTTTTTTAAATCTTTTTTTTTTTTTTTGGCAGCTGGCTGGTACAGGGATCGAACCCTGGATCTTGGTGTTTTCAGCACCATGCTCCAGCCATCCCCAGCTTCTGAATTTCTAAGGTTAGGCTCTGATGCAGAATAAAAATGGCTCATTTATTTAATACTCAGATATTCTTCTTAAAAATTTCCAGGTTCATTCAGATCACTTGAATTAAGTTCTTTTTATGTGTTGGAATGAGGGAGGAAACGATATATTTTTTGCCTTTGCACCTTTATGTTTTTTTTTCAATATTTGCATTTGAGCCATTGAAAATTTTACATAGTTTGGTATGGTTAGGGCAAAACAACATTGGTTTTTTTTGTTTGTTTTTCTTTAAAGATGACCAGTAAGGGGATCTTAACCCTTGCCTTGGTGTATTCAGCAGCACACTCTCCCAAGTGAGCAAACCGGCCATTCCTATATAGGGATCCGAACCCGTGGCCTTGGTGTTATCGGCACCACACTCTCCCAAGTGCGCCATGGTCCTGACCCTCAAAACAACATTTGACAAATGAAATGATTTTTTGTCTTACCGCTTCTCCCTCCAAAAAAGATCATAAAAGCTATTAGTAAAAATGTATTGATAAAATTGTTGACCAGGAGACCAGAAAAGTTCCTAACAGGTTAAGTCCTGAAAATATTTCTTGATCCTGTTTTTGATTATCCGAGAGATGGAAATAAGGATGATATGTTGCCTTCATCGCTCAGTGAACATGGTCTGTCATTGCTTTGTAAACCCTTAATGCTATATGCACTTAAAGAACAGACTCTGGAGGGCCGGCCCGGTGGCGCACTCGGTAGAGTGCGGCGCTTGAGAGCGCGGCGGCGCTCCCACCGAGGGTTTGGATCCCATATAGAGGCCAGTCCGCTCACTGGTTGAGCGCGGTGTGGGCGTGACACCGAGGGTTGCAATCCCGTTGCCGGTCGCGGTACAGGCACGACACTGAGGGTTGTGATCCCGTTACCGGTCACAAAAAAAGACAAAAAGAAAAAAAACAGACTCTGGAAAGACGGGTTTAGGATCTGGCATAATTAAGTAGGGTAAAGATCCTTCTGGTCTTGGTACAGTTTTGTGACCCAGTAGGGGTCAGTGTGTGTCAGGATTGGCTTGGGTTTTATGCCTTTTTTTGTTGGTTGGTTTTTCAGAGGCACAGAGAGATAGTGTATAAAGTATACCTGCATTTTGACCACTAGATTAACGTACACAGTAGAGAAGTGGTAAGGATTTTTTAAATGTCACCTTTACTTTCTTAAAATATCATTGTGTATGTTAGTGATTTGTCATCCTAACCACAACATTTTCATGGAGGTCATTCCTTTTTCAGCTCTTAAACCTATGATATTATGTGTTAATTTTATTTTTTAGGCGTGAATGTTTACCTTAGAGTTCTGCTTTTTCAGTCCTTCAGATGCAGCTCCTTGGTCTAGTGAGGTGTTACGTTGCAAAATACTTTATCAAGTGCTTTAAACTTCTCTGGCAATTACTTATTCTCAGGGCCTTGTAAATTCATTTTTTAGGACTTAAAGAAGGTTGTCTGTGCTTGATAGTGAGATACAGTAACTTTTTTTGTTAAGTTGCAAATATTGTGTGTTACAGTATAGGTGCCCTTTTCCAGCAGGAGTTCACATTCCGTTGCAGAGGTAGGAAATGTATGGGTATGTCCAGCATTCATAAAAAGGAAAAAATTGAAACAGTTGAAAATTAGTGCATAGTGGTGTTTGTAGGCACATTAAGTGGTAAAATAGGAAAGGGAAAAAAGAGTAGGAAGAATGTTGCAGATACAAGTGGGAGTGTAAAATATTTCTTCCTGCTATATTTATGAAAACAGTTCAGGAGTTATTCTGCCAATTCATACAACCAACAATTAATGGAAAAGTAAGACATGCTTTTGTGTGTGTGTCCAAATTTTTTAGGGTTTCCTCCTTTGAGGATTTCTGAAGTTGAATTTTTCTAGTGTGGCAAACATTAGTGAAATTAATGGGCAAGTGAAACAAATTATACCAAAGTAGAATTTTTAAAACATTGAATTTTGTAGGTGAAGTATAGTAGTGTCCTGAAATTTTAATGGGAATTTTTTTATTACTCAGTTCTCAAAAAAAGTTTGAATGTAAATACTGATTGAGGTGTTAAAGACTCTTCTGAGCAATTTGGACGTAATTTGGTTTTAGACTTAGCTTCTTTTTTATAAGTGCCCCAAAGGGCAGTTAGGAGTAATTTTGTTGAGTGAGAGAGAGATAGTAACACTATTGGGAAAAAAAAAAAAAAACTGATTAAGAAAATGGATTTTGGAGTCAGACTACTAAGGTACAGATCCCCAACTTGCATTTATTAACTGTGAGCCAGTTACTTAACCTGTGTCTCAGCTTCCTCACCTGTAGTACCTACCTTATAGGGTTGTGGTGAAGAATAAATGATA